GCCCTTAGACCTAGAGGACCCTGCTTTGGGTCCCTCCCCACAGGAAAAGACCAGGGGACCAAAGTTGTGCCTTCACTGGCAGCCCAAGCCCCCCATTCTGGAAAACGTACTGGCTACTCAAGACCCTAGAAGTCTTTGCCCAGACAGCTGCAGGGTCTGTGTGGGCGTCTGTCCAAATTCACACTCATTACTCTGTGGACTGTGTGCTCACTGTTACTTCTGCAGGGGTGCGGGGTGGCCATTGCAGGTAGGGGTTGCATAGATGGGTGGGCTGGAATTTCCACTGTTGTGCCAAGTGAGGTCTCCAGTGCAGAACGGAGCCTGGGATGGGAGGAGACGTGGGGCAGGGTGAGGCCCTGTGCCTTTTCTCGCGCTGCCATCCTCAGGCAGTCTCTGAGGCATCCGGATGCTATGAGAGCTCCCAAGTCTGTACAAAGGTGTCTTTACAAGATGGTGGGATGAAGCATACTTTATATTCTAGCCGTCATTCTGATTTATAACTTTCACCTGTTCAGATGTATGGTATCTGGCCTTTCTATCTTTACCCAAGACCTCAAATGCCAAAGGTAGTTCTTACCTATTGAGGGTGAGCAAATTCAGAGAATTAGAAGTTGATTATTGAATTGAAATATGAAAAGTGCCCTAACCGGTTTGGCTCAGTGGATAGAGCGTCGGCCTGTGGACTGAAGGGTCCCAGGTTCAATTCCGGTCAAGGGCATGTACCTTGGTTGCAGTCACATCCCCAGTGGGGAGCGTGCAGGAGGCAGCTGATCGATGTTTCTCTCATCGATGTTTCTAACTCTCTATCCTTCTCCCTTTCTCTCTGTAAAAAATCAATAAAATATATATTTAAAAAAAAGAAAAAAGAAGCTACATTGTAGTTGGCCGTGTGCTCTTTCAGGGGAAAATGCTGTAGCTTATCAAACCCCTTGGCCATAGGGATGTCAGTTAAACTCTAAAAATGGCGAGAGCTTTTGTTTTCTAAGAATGCCGTTTTAAGAGTAAAGACCCTGGAGCTAAGTTGTCTGGGTTCAAATTCCTGCTCCAACCCTTCCCAGCTGAGGGAACTGCCGACTTACCCTCTTGAGGCCTCATTCCCTCCAGTGTGAAATGTGCGTAGTAATAGTCGGTGCCTCTCGATAACTAAATGTGCAATTTAAGTTGTAAGTTGTAAATTGCTCAGATCCATGCCTGGCATCATTTTATATGCATGTATGCGTATATAATTAAATGAATAAATTAACTTTAATGATCATGCAGGCGATGCTTTCCAAGTAAGGCCTAATCTTAGGAAGGTGTTGACAACCGAGTTTCACCAAGACTACCTTTACTTTACGTGATGTGGGGGAAATTTTTCTTTTCTGACCTGTCACAATGAAAAAACATCTAGTCATTTCAATTTGATCTGAGAGTTGAATAAGCTGGAGGCATTTTAACCACAAATGGCGGGTCTTCGGAGGCCAAGGGCAGAGCAAGCACGAGGTCACACGGAAGATGTGTAAATGCTGCGAAGCTGCCTTGTCACCTGAAATATCCTCATGGCACCAAAAAT